TAGTATAACAGGGGTTGATGACATTTTGAGGCTAGAAGAGAAAAACGCCAATATTTGGGACTAGTAGTCTTAATTTTTTCGGCTAAAAATTTCGCCTCCAATACCTCTGACTCACCGTCGGATACTGCAATGGAGCTGTCTAACTAACACCGTAAAATTTGTATTTCACCTTTTCTCCCTCCTCCAGAAGCTTCTGAAAAATAGTCACAAACTTTTTTCTACATCTCGCAGCACGATGACTTTTGCAGACAATATGTGATGTAGCGGGATGAATTTAAAATACGTCTTGTTGTTTGAATCGGCGCTGCAGTCTAGCCCGGTTGGGAACGTCCCTTTTCTTAGCCAAGTTAAGGGAACTTCAGAGCAAAATCGGATCTTTTTAACTAGCCATTAGCAGATTTGTTATCAGTGCAGCGTAAAACGCTGTAGTAACTGATACACGGCAACATTGAGGCTCTTGATGGCTGTCCAACAAAAGTTTTACTGGCGTAAAAGTATTGTCATACAAAGCTGGGATGAATAATGTTTGGCTTTCTTTTAATACCTTAAGTACATCAAATTTAAGTGAGGCTCCTTTAGCTTCAGCAGAGAGACTGTCTATTTGTGGGACTGGCAACAGTGCTATGAAGAATCTTTTTCATCCGTTTTCAAGAGCTTTTATTGTTTAGGTTGAACTGTACCATCTGCCTCGCCCCAGTCCCATCTACAGCTCGATGGACTTCGAGGCTGGGTCTTATGTGCCAAGGGGCAACATTTTGCCAAACCATCAAGCTGCTTGAGGGCCATGATGCTTTGGGGAAGGGTTCAGCTTTACGCTTAATACAGCCCTTATTTGTGATTCTACAGTTGTTATGCAATTTCTGCGACTTTTATCACGTCTTTGCTTTTTGCCCAGGTTCATATTTCAATAATTTTTATGCGCCATTTTCCTTCTATTTCCCCAGGTTTTGTGGAAGCATGATAGAACCAAGTCGTTCGCTCTCAAGTGCATGAAAAAGCTCCACATTGTGGAGACTAGACAGCAGGAGCATATCTTCTCTGAGCGAAACCTCATGTTTGAGATAAAGTGCTCCTTTGTATGCAAGTAAGTTGTGTTCCACCCTCCTCATTAGGCTATTTACTCCACTCTCACTCGGCACTCATTACAAGTGTTCATGAAGCGCTCGAATGAAAAACCGTATGGCTGTCCCTATGGTTTGATAATTATTGTTGAAGGCCTTTTTGAGAAGAGCACTCTTGAATCTGCTAATGGTGCTTATTGCTTAAGCGGAACTTGGTCTTTGTTCACTATTATTCACAAAGTTCGTGAAAAGTTACGAACAATCTCGTTTAGAGGTACTCTGGTAAAGCATCAGAATTATCTATCTATGCTTACGATATGTCTATTTTTGGACATGTTGGGTCTCATTGTCTATCAAGAATGGCTTGGTTTTCCAATGCCTTTATCAATGCTCCAATAATTCCCATCTTTTAGACTCATCGCATGGACTTTACTACGAAAGTCATCTATTCATAAAATTTCATCTTGAGGGTGGGGCAGGTTTGCATTCCATTTAGACATATCCTTGCCACCTCGAGAATATTAACCTCTCATTTTTCGTGTTCATATCAAGCTCGCCCCATTGTCTGTGATTAAAAAAAAATATTTTTTCGCTTCAGACTATATGCTACTTATCGTGATTCAAAGTATGTGTACATGCTCCTGGAGGCCTGTCTAGGAGGCGAACTCTGGAACGTACTTAGAAACAGGTTGGTAACCTTTGTTGGGTGTCTTGCTCTAATCAATCTTATAATTTTGAGTCTTGTTAAAATACGATTTTAGTGAGAGTAATGTCCGTTTTTTCTCACCTTTTGGGAAAGCAGGGTTATGTAAAATTCAATAGTAGCATCAGCCCTACTCATATCATCGTGGATAAATTCTACTACCAGTCCTTTATCATCTTAAACGAAATTGGGTGATTTTCTGGTAGTCTCGAGATTCTGCTTATATACAAAAAATCATCAGAGTAGGTTATCATTTTTACACGCATTTTCAAGATGATGAGTTTTATTGACTTGTTAGTTTGGATATGGTTGTAAGAATGATACTCTGTTCGGATGACGGACGAAAACTTAGCTCGTTTTTATCGGAATCGAAGACGATTATCTCAGAAACAACGCCAGTAAGAATGTTCCAATAAAACCAATCGACTACCGGCCAAAAAGAATCGGCGGCATGCTTTGGTGGGATCGACCTTTGAATCTCTTCACCAAATACTTTCTTTCTAAATGGAAATGGACCCAACAATAAAATTCTTGACTTCGATTTAAGTTAGATTCTTAAGGCTAATGTTGTCGATAATTATGCTCTTATCCCCAGAAAGATGCTGGAACGGCCTAAAATCTGGTTTGTAACCTGCAGATCTTAAGAAGTCATGGAGGCAGCTTATATTTATAATTTGAATAACTTTAAGAAGTTTTACTCTGGGTTTGAATACCTTTACAGAAACAGCATATACTGTTTATTATATTTTTGACTAATTATTTTGCACTGGCTATACTTCTAGGATTACTTGCTATTTAATTTAGTTCATTAGCAAATATATCTAGTTTCCTTGATTAAATTGAAATGTTTTTTTTCTTTTTCCAGAGGCAGTTTTGATGACAATATCACACGGTTCGTCGTGGCTTGCGTTCTAGAGGCCTTTACTTACCTTCACACACGAGGTATTCTTTATCGAGATTTAAAGCCTGAAAATCTACTTTTAGACTCCAGGGGGTATATAAAGTTGGTAAGCTTTTTCCCTTATACATTAACAGGATAACCATTTTCGCGCTCATTAGTGGCCAAAAGCGAGTCGGCTACATGTTTAGCCAAGAATCTAGAATATTTGACATGCCAGACTTACTGTATTATAACAAGCTTAAAGAATGCTCATGAGCATGACAGTCTTCCCAACATGGTTGTCACGACGAGAACAATTTGCATGACAGATTAAATTATGCAGTACAAGCAAGGATGTCGTGATAGATGGGGGGAGAGGTGGAGTTGATGGGCCTCGAGTCAAGAAGGAGGCTTCCAGCAAAGTGTCTTGTGCTCAGGAATAGTTTGATCTGCTTTAACGAGTCCTTTGACGTTACTTTGTTTAAATTAATTTCGACTAAACGTCGCATAAAGCAATCTTCGCTTTTCGACCTTTTCTGGCAATGAGGAGTTTTGGGTGGTATCGAATAAGTAGCCAATATCTTATCAAAATTCTAAAGCAAAGTCTACAGATAATTTCAACATTAAATCACAATAATCATAATAATCATATTGTAGGAAGAGTTTAGTTCTAAATTGGTAACCATCAATATTAGTCAAGTTGCAGGAGTTATAGAGTGGATTAAACAAACTACAGATTAAAACAAAGTAAACCGATAAAATACGAAAAGAAAGTCCTAAGTCTCACAAGTGAAGCAAGGATGCTCGAAGGTTTTTGGATTAAAGATAAATGAGATGTGTTCATCCTAGTTCATTTAAGATGATAAAGGATTGATAGGTGAATTTTCCCACAGTGATATAAGTGGAACAGACACTTCCATTGAATTTCAAATAGCCTTGCTTTCCCAAAAGTTGTTCTCATCCAGGCGGGAGTAGACTGCAGTTTCCACCCTCGCATGGGTCTTATCAACACCCCCAGCGGGAGTCGAACCAGGATAGTGCAGCGTATAAACTCGACACGTTAACCACTACGCCACATTGCTACGATTGTTCTTGAGTCAGAGAGCGGATGTGAATTTCAAGGAAGGCCAGGCATTTTTGCCATATCATATTCTTTGGTGGGATTGTCAATGAAGCAAATATATATTAGCTACAGCAATCGACAACATTGTGTATGAAGAGAAGCTGGGTTTCGAAGAATCTCTTAGCAGATTGACACTTCGTTTGAGAATACGAGTGAAATGGATTGGCAGGTATTGTCGCCAGTCTCGAACTTGACTCGAGGTTACCTAAGCGAGGTCGAAACTGTACTCTACTGTAGAACATAGGGTCGTGCTGACACAGGTTGGAGATAAAACTAAATGGCCTCCATTGTTTTTGACCTCTGGAAAGTGAGTCATCGAGATTTGGATGCACGAAACCAGTCGCTCATCTACACTCAGATATGCTAATTATGCCATTTTGGAATGGTGACTTTGTATTTAGCATAATGAAGTTCCTCACCTGAGTTAGACGAGAGACTTTGGTGGCGCCACTCATTCGCGTACATTCAATGTTGCTCATCCAGCGTCACTTGTGAAAGAAATCTGCCATTTTCTTATTCGGAAAAGGAAAATGATTTGGTGACTTCTAACGCTTGGCGTCAATGCTGACTTCACTCGATCCCTTGAATTCTTGCTCTCTGTCTTCAAGACAGGTAAAATTGAGGTTGTAGGTGGACCTTAATACACAATTCTTCTGTCGAACTTGCCTCGGCTCGAACTTTCAGACAAGCATAGAAAAATTTCAAGAGGTAGTAATCACCAAAATAAGCAGTCGTCCAAGGTTTTTAGTGCCAACCCTTTTGTAACATCGAATGCTGTTGTAGGCTGGTCATGGCTCTGATTGCAACCTCTTTTCCTTACCTTTATCTATTTCTGTTAGGGCCATTCGGTGGACCAGCCTGACGGTGATTGGGTTGGAGAAAATGCGTATTTTACAGACTCAAGACGGCAGGGTAACGCTGCTGACCGAGACGAAGTCAGGACTTGAGCTCTCCAGATCAATTTAGGGTTGAGCGACCCGTCGGCCAATGAGAGTATTGAGCCAAAACCTCTGGTAGAGAGAGCAATTAGTCAGACAACCCCCCAAAGTACATTATTACAAAATGCTGTAAATGAGTTTAGTGGTAAATGTGGTAGTAAACGCTCCAAATATAGGATTTTGGCGCTAAAGCAAGTTTGAGTAAGTTTCCGAAAACGCATTTAAGCCTTAGAAAGAAGCTAATCACCTCTAGAGCGTTGACGACCCCTGCATTTAAGGTGCTTGGCAATGTGCTAGCCACCTTGAACGCACAGTAGTCATGTGACGCTCACTGTAGACATGCGAACAATTTACTCGCACTCGGGTCAGCAGGGTTGGAGAGCTGGAGTGACACTTGTCTTTCTGTATCACCCTCTGCTTTGATTATTCAACTGTACTCATTACTCATTGTCCATTGTTTTCCGTCCAGTGTGACTTTGGATTCGCCAAGAAG